ATTAAGACTTTGGCAAACCCCCTACTGGATCTTTTCAAAAATCAGGACATTAATTAACTTTAATTTTACCGCTGCTTTCATCTTCTGCTCGCTCAAAAGGGATGAGCAAATTCCCAAAGGGTCTTTTTCAGTTGAGGGGCGGGGCCATACCAGACCTTTGGTCAAGTCTACTTTGAGAAATAATCAGCCATTCAGGGAATTCCATTTAAGCTGTGGTCATGAGATCTTGTACCACCCATTAAAATGGAGTAACACTTGTAAAGTAATACCTTTTAGTAATAACATTATTCCTGCTTTTTTACAAGTTTTCATTTAGGAATGATCTGAAGTTTTGTCTTAATTTTTATTTTATCATTAACTAAACAATGAATTTTGTGGGCTATCTGAGATTAAAAATGTAATTAACCTATTCAATGAATAGACCCTATATATGATTGAACAGCTGTTAAATCCTCGTAAAAGAATCATATATATTCTAACAAAATGACTAAAACAATGATTGTAGAAAAATTGTAATACTTTTGGAAAAGCAAAATCAAAAGGTTCAAAACTTAATAGCAGAACAAAATAGCTGAAAGTATTGTATAAACAAAAACGGACTAACAAGGAGAGGATAAAGCCTTGTGGGTTTTCTACTAATTTTCAAACCGGTAGCCTAAATCCCTATTAAATTTCATGTGAATGGGTGAAGCCATTCTAAAGTAAAAAATATTTACTCCCAGATTGCTACGTCGCACAATGGTTCAGAGGCGGAAAAACCCCTAAAACGGAAAGTATTCTAATCACACTTTTGTGCTATCACATCTTTCCTTGACATCTCTAGGACACAGACCAATAATTGTTTTCTCCAGTTTCCCCTGATTTAATCTTTCAAAATAAAAATTAAAGAGCATTTTTCAGTGATTTTACAAAAAATTAATGGTATTTAGAGATATTTTGAATAAATATTTTTCGATCTCAATTAGTGTGGTGTTATTGATTGTTTATTTAAAATGTCATTGTCATGGACTAATAAGTATTAAAAAAATTAAATTTGGTACAGTCTTACAGTTCCTTGGTTTTCATTGTTATAACTATGAAAAAATCGAAGTATGATTTAAGTGTAAACCCAAAATAAACAACTAGCTCCAATAAGCGACACACTGGCAATTATTCCATTTGATAATAGATATAAAAATGTAAATTCTGTAAAAAAAAATTGCTTGCTTATATTCTCTTATTTAAGAGTATGAGTGATTTTTCTGTATATACATTTTATGTAATGTTAATAAATTGTTAGCTGTGTAATTCAATCAATGAAATTTACACCTGAATTGAAGTTATTTATTTACTTTTTTGTATTCTCAGACAATAGGAAAGTTAAAGCAAAAATTATAAACGCTATATTGATTCATATTTCATAGTAGATATTTATTTTTTTAAGTACCCTTATATATACAAATTTTAATATTTATATCGCTGTAATCTATACAATTAAATATTAAATAATACCAACGAAAAACTTTAGGAAAACCGCATATGTATATATAGTCAGAGTCCTTATTATATTAAGCTCATGTTATTATGGGAACCTGTTCTAATTTTCCGGTGAGCTCTGCCGCGCTCTCGTATCCCTTTGGTTCCTTCATAGCAACTATTCTCTGTTACGATCTCGTATTTCTTCTTTAGTTAATTATTAAATTCTTTTATGTTTTATATTTAACTATTTTTTATATTACAGATAAATGTGAAATGATTAATTGTTTCAAATAAAAAAAAATTAAAGGTATTTTAGAGGAAGCTAATATTGAAAATTAGCCATTTAAGCCCTGTTAGAGAACAACAATGAGAATAAAACTTATATAATACTTAAAACTGCTTAATTTTACACTGATATACCGAGTTTGATCAAAATTGTTGGAGCCGTTTTTTAGTAAATCGTAAAAATGTAATTCATCGATGATATTAAGTCCCACTTTCGGTTAACAGATTTTGATGAAAAAGTTGCTTTAACTTTTGAGGTATATACATACCTTAAATGCGCAATTTCACTTCCATACGTCTTTTTGTTTTTGCGCTAGTCACATACACACAGACCATTTTGCGGGATTTGGTTATTTGGACTCAGGAGACTTCAAAACATGTATTTCCGTTGATCATGTATCCGAAAATTCAGATTCAAAAATTTTCATGATCGCAATACTGTTATATATTTCATATATAAGTAAGTGGAAGTAAAAAGGATCTTTCATTCTGTAATAAATATAAATCTTTCATGATTTAATCAATCAAAAGCTGTTTGTTTGACAATTTGAACAAATGTTAAAAAAAATTTTTAATTTCCCAATAATTTTATTTCAGTATTCTAATGTGTACCAAATTAAAAAAAAATGTTTTTAGTAAAATTTTATTTTCTTAGCCTAAAAGGTAATTTATTTAGTATTTGTTTTAAATTTTAGTAACTCTTTAAGTAAATGTTTTATCTTAATTTTTACAGCTTGAAATCGGTTCTCAAATCTTATTTTTAGTTTGGGTTTTAAAATTATTGGAAAAGATAAAACCTTCCACTCTCCTCTCCCCAGTCGCCTTTTTCCTCAAACCAACTTGCTTGGAAATTTGATAAATTTGGAAGAATAAATAAATAAAAGAATAATAAAAGTAAAAAAATAATTCAAACCTATGCATTTTTTAAAAATAATAATTTTCAGAGAATAATGAGGTAAAAACATCATAAAACACAACAATATTAGAATTTTAAAATAAGGATTTATATTCAACGGAGAAAGTCGATTTTTAAAAACAAAATAATATTTATGCTTTCACCTTTAGTTTCCTTTTTGTAAATATTATAAATCTATATATTTAAACATTTACTAAGCCACATTTTCTATAAATCTATATATTTAAACATTTACTAAGCCACATTTTCTATAAATCTTTTTAATCTTCAATATTTTTGCTCAATAAGGTTAACTTGAATTATTAAATTTATTTTTATTCAGATTTTTTTTTAATTTAAAACACAATACAGTCATAATAACGAAAATAGGTAAAGCTATCAATTTAATTTTTGTTTCATTTGATTTAGAATAAGAAAATACATATAAAATTACCCCTATTTGAGCTTTATAGTTATAGGTCCAAGGTGGTTCAAGTTTTTTCTGAAAATAAGGTGTTTTGCACCACTGTGCAATGGTTGGTCTGAAATGGAATTCTACCCATACTGCAGCTATCTGCCAAATATAATATTTAATTTATTAAAAACCCGTCTGGTATCTAGAGTAAATAATTTTTTGGGGAGAAACAAAGTTGATATTCGTTTTTCACACCTCAAAAAATCCTTATATACGATTTTTATGGCAATTGGAAAATTCAAATTTTCTGCACGAAAGTTTTGCCTAGGTTGGACGCATCAAAATTTTTTCAACCACAAAACTTGTGATAACTTTAGAACGGCTGCACCGATCCACATGAAAAGTAATTAGGATGTCAGCCTCTGTATGCTACACAAAATGATATAAACCCAACCTTTGTAAGCAAATTAAAATTAAAGATATAAAATAAAAACAGGTTAGAATTTTTTTTTTCAATTTATATCATGAAAAAAAAAAATTAAGTCCAAAAGTTATCGGTGTCAGTTGGAAGAACATTAATTCAGCTTTCAAACAATTCTATTAAAGTTGAATTTGGAGAAATTCCTAAAGGAGTTACGAATGCTTTAGTTGATGGCCAAAAAAAAATTCATCCCAGAAAATCAAGTACTAAAGGTTGTATTTTTTTATTTATATAACAATTTATATTTAAGAGTGTTAGAGGACCCTAAAAAGGAATCTAATTAGCTTTTTAAGGAGGGAGATGGATGGGGTGGCGGTCACAAAAAGGCTAAAATAGTAAAAAAAAAAAAAACTATTTTATTTCAAAAATGTGGCAGTTACATAATATTTAGACAAAAATTCAAGATAATGTAAATATACTTATTAAAATTTTGAACAATGTGGATAGAAAGTACACAGAAATATTATGAACAACAAAACTATATAAACAGAGTATAACTATGCAAACAGACCCTAAACTGAAGTAATTTAATTTGCTTTCATTTCATTAATTTACTTTTTCACAACAAAAATTTACTTGACCTATTTTACTGGAAGTATTTTATACAATAGTTAATATTTTTTTCTTGTTCTGCACAGTAAAATTTTGTTGTAGAAAATTTAAATTTTTCGATTGCTATAAAAATTCGTATTTAGTTGTTTTTGGGAGGAGCGAAAAACGAATATCAACTTTGTTTCAACCTAAAAAATTACCGGTTTTTAATGAATATTATATTTGGCGGATAGCTACAGTTTGAGCACAATTCGGAACAACCGACGTAACAATGTGGGAGTAAACATTTTTTTAGGGAGTAACAAAATTGATATTCGTTTTTCACACCTCAAAAAACCCTTATAAATGATTTTTATGGCAATTGGAAAATTCAAATTTTCTGCACGAAATTTTTGCCTAGGTTGGACGCATCAAAATTTTTTCAACTACAAAACTTGTGATAACTTTAGAACAGCTCCACCAATCAATATAAATATTAATAAGGATTTAAAGTTCTATAGGCTACACAAAATGGTATAAAATCGACTTGTGTAAACAAATTAGAATCAAATATAAAAAATAAAAATGATTCTTTATTGAAAGCGCCTATTGGAATTTATGATACATTACAACTCATTTAATACAACAGTCAATATTTTTTTCTTGTTCTGCACAAAAAACGAAATTTATTGATATATAATACTATAAAAATCAGGGCGAAGCAAAGGCAATAATAAATAAAACATATATTGGTAGAGATTATAAAAATATTATTTTTTCAGCTCCTAGGGCCCATTGGAATGAGTGCCGCGATAAATTTCTCATACTTTTTTATGTAGTATCATAAAGAAAAATTTGGTTGAAATCAGTGACCCACAGACTGTATTATCTCCTTGTAAGTTAGAATAAAATTCAATACTGTATGTGTAACTTACATTATCTGTATAACCCTGAGGACTTTTTTTGTAATCTTGGTCAATACCACCTCCTATTTTGAATCCACATTTCAAAACTTCTCTTCCTTCATGATCTACACCAGGTTCTTTGTGCAATGTAATTGGTATCTAAAAATGGAAAGCTAATAATATTTAGTAGACTTTTAAGGGACAGTAAAAAATAAAAGGTATATTACACTAAGACACTCCATTGCAGTGCCAGCCTGATGCTGAAATGCCATCTTAGCACACATTTTGAAGGGTTTATTACACCAGACATACAACTCTGAAAAACTGAAATAAGAGATCTATCAAATGAAACCAAAAGTTAACTAAAGAATTTATGATTGGAACCCCAAGTATTCCATTATCTAAAGCAAGTAACACACCTATGAACTGGAGCCAATCGATTTGAATTAACAGATAAGCAGAGAGGTATATGAAAAGTTTTTCACAAATGGAAAGGAAGAATAAAAAATATAGCTTTATCTTATCATATTGCAGACTGCCTCATGTAAGTAATAAATAAACAGGACTGTTGCGGCCAACATGTAGTTATTTGTTTTAATTTTATTTCTCTTGTGACCATATCATAATATGGGGTGTCATTTTTATTTTGTTTATGAATAATATAGGTTATTTAATTCTAATTTCAAATTTTGTTTTAATATCATAGTACAAAAGCATTTTTATTTATTATATGTATATTTTCACATCATATATATTTCGTACATTACGAAAAACCCCAGCGATGTTTTCGGCCACTTTCGGGACAGTCCGTCTCACTTTGGGTCCCATGATAGGAGCGAAGGAACAATTCGGTATGGCGCTGCATAGACTACTACCTCTATGAAGCCCTTCATTCTGCCACCATTCCTCCTGGAAAACCCAAGGTTTCATCTCTCCAGGTTGTGAGGACGATTTCCCACATCTGGAATATTGTTATCCTCCAAGAGGACACCCGTCAGTTACACCACGGCGACGTTTAAGAGCAATCTGACCTGAAGTCTGCAGGTGATTTGGTTTAATTCATTTTAGAACATTTTAAGGTGAGTGACGCCTCTTTGAAAAAACACTGCTGGCCCCACGGGTCTCAGGTGTTGTCATTAGTGAAGGAAAATCATTATTTTCCTAATATATCTTACGCAAGTTGCGCCATCAAAATTTTTGAGGAGGGCATATTTTGACGTGTTTTTGAATTTTCGGACTAAGGGACAAGGGGAAAAACATGGAACATACCGCTGCAAGTGTAATTGTATATAATCTAAGATTTTTCTAATTCTACCTCAGCTTGTTCTGTTTTTAAAGGTAAGCAATAAAATATGGGTAGGGGAGGGTAGGGTCTTGCACATTCGATCATGGGGGGGGGGGGGAATGGGCACCCCTGTATCTTGCATTGATATTAAACTGTAACTGGACACTTGTTCATGTCTTTATTGTTGAGTGCTTTGATGGTCCAGTTGCTAGCTGTCTAGCATCCTCGTGCCTAGCGATGCCGATTCGAATACGGCCTGGGAATGGTTGACTTTTGTTTCGTGGTGGACCAAGGGAATCAAACTCGATCCTCCAACTCTGGTTAGAATAAGTTTGGTTGTACCTCTAGAACAAACCCCCTCCCCATATGCCAGAAATGGTGGGTAGGGGGTTATCCAATAAAAAAATAAAATAAAAAGTCCAGTTGCTAGCATGCGAACTTGGTATGGTGTTAGTTCCCGATTCAAGAACTAGGTTCTACAATATTCTATATTTCTAGTTATTATTTAACAATATAATTTTAAATTTACATTGTTTTGACGTCACAAGGTGGTCTATTATATTTTCATATCTTTGCTTGCTCTAAATTTTTCAAAGCAAGATCACTACCTATTTTATTGAAGAGTAAAGTGGAAGATAAATTGAACCGACTTCTTGAGCTAGGTATTTTAGAAAAAGTTGAGTGTAGCGAATGGGCCACTCCAATAGTTCCAGTCCTTAAAAGTGATGGAAGTAGGAGATTATCGCCTTACCATAAATCCTGTCCTGTTGAGCAACCAATGCCTCTTCCAAGGTTTGATCATATATGCTCAAGTTTTGGTGGAGCTAAATTCTTTTCAATGATTGATTTGAAAGACGCTTATCAGAAACTCCTTTTAGAAGATAACTCACAACCTTTGACTATAATTAATACTCATATTGGCTTGTTTAGGTACACACGATTGTGCTTTGGAATCACTAGTGCACCTGGAGAGTTTCAGAAAGTTGTGAACAATCTACTCCGAGGACTCCAGAGAGTGGGATCTTTGCTGGACGACATTTACATCAACGATAGGACCAGAGAGGAGCACAACCAAAGGCTTGAGAAGGTACTCAAAATTCTTAAAAGCCAAGTTAAATTTAGTAAATGCTCTTTTGTGTGCAATTCTCTGGAATATCTGGTGCATAAATTTGATGAGAAATGATTGTATGCCACAGATAAGCATATAAAAGCCATAAAAGATGCTTCACCATCTAAGGATACTACTGCTCTCAAATCGTTCCTCGGATTGGTGACGTTTCATCTAAAGTGTATTCTTAATGCTTCTGAAATATTATATCCTTTATACCGTTTCGGAAAAAAAATATGTAAAATTTATCTAAACAGCTGTCAGATAGCTTTTTGGAAAAAATTAAAAAGATCTTAACTTCAGAACCAGTCTTAGCACATTTTGACCCAATTTTGCCTTTACAACTGACAGTAGGCGAATCAGCCAAATCGGTGTGAACAGTTCTTTCTCATATTGATAAAAATAACGAACGCCCTATAGCATATGATTCTAAATTGTTGACTAATGCCCAACGAAAGTAAGCCACCGTCGAAAGATAAGCTTGGGCTATTATATTTGAGATCACACATTTTAAAGATTTTTTATTTCTAAAAGAGTTTACCCTTGTGACAGATCACCGGCGCTTATTTCTCATTTTTGGAGAACGGAAGGCCATTTATGCTGCTAATCGCCAACAAAAGATGGGCATATTTAATTTCTATTAAGTTGTGTTGTTTTTCCTTAGTTTAATAAAGCTTGTTATTTATTAAATGTTTTACACTTAATAAAAAAAACCCATAAACCGTTTTTAAAAACAACACTTATAAATAAGAAAATTTCTTGTTTTGTGGTCATGGGTTCAACAACAAAATGAATCGAAAGTTTTTTAGTATCATCAATGACGGCTGAGATATGTCTAAGCTCTCAGAACTGTTCGCACGTTTTGGGTTACCTCAAGCTTTAAAATCTGATGCAGCCAAATGCTTCATAGGTTCAGAATTTTCAATTTTCTTGTACAAATATGGGATTAAGCATTTGGTAGGGGCTCCATTCCATCCACAGTCAAATGGTAGTGCCAAGTCAGCTGTTGAAATTTTAAAAAGATGTATTTTGAAGTCTTTAGCTGAAGAGAAAAATCTGTGTCAATCGTTGAATGATTATTTGTTACTGTACAGGAACACGGAGCATGCGACAACTGGGGAATCTCCAGCAAATCTACTTCTCAATAAGAAACCAATAACAATTTTTGACCTTTTGCTGCCATCGACGGAAGAAATCGTGGAGGCCCACCAGGAAAAGATGATTAGAAATGGAGGCCAGCGTTGGAAATTATTCCATGTCGGAAAACAGGTTTGGGCAAAGGATTTTCTCTCGATCAAGCCAAAATGGACCAAAGGATGCGCACAAGACTCTGTTACCATGAAACTACCTCATCAAAACGGAAGACAACTTGTTGTGGAAGAGACACCTAAACCAGTTGTGGCCATATTTCCAAGGAAAATATTTGCCTCGTATGGACATATCCAGAAGTCAGTCGCCAGTCAAAGAAGATACCAATGGCTCTCCGAGACTTTGCAATACAGATACTTTGAAAGAAGATGGCCAGGACACGTAACGAAATGAAACAAACCATGGACGGAACTCCTCTGAAGAGGGTCTAAATGAACAAGATGATCTTAGCTTGGAGGAAGTATTAGAAACCGGACAAGAGGATTCCCAAGCGGAAGAAGATCTCAGTCTTGATCAAGAACAAGTCACACCTTCGCTTCCCAAAAGAAGTATTCGTAAAAAGTACGGTATTCACCAGACTGAAGGACATTTGCTTATGTCTACATTTTTCTTCTTATTATTATTATTATTTTAAAGTAGATCAATTTTCTTTTAAGGGGGGAGGAGATGTTGTGACGTCACATGGTGATCTATTACATTTTCATATCTTTGCATGACAAGTATACCTCTTTGTATTAGTTTTCTTCCGGTTAATAAAAGTTGTTGTTCTAACTTGTTCCAAGACCAAACCCGTACCTTGTAAGTTTTTGTGTGTGGCTCGTCTCATATTAGTCGGAGTATTTTTGTTTTTATAATCCTAAATCGATTTCACAATTAAATTAATTTCTTTTTTATTAAATTATAATTCACACATATCATTCACACAAAAATCTGGTGCGCGCGTCACACGACTTTCACTTACCACCCTCATATTAGGAGAAATAAGTATTTTCAAACAAAGGGGAAGTGAAAGTAAAAATTATAGACGTTATATTTATTTACATTTCATTTTGGGTATTTTTATTTGATTAAATATCCTTATACAATTTTAATTTTTATATCGCTGTATTCTATACAATTAAATATTATAACACCAACGATAGCATTTGTGAAAACTGCATAAGTATATGTACACAATATTAAAAGTACCATTTCCGGCTAGCTGATTTTGATAAAAATGTTGCTGTAAATCATCGTCGAAGGCTTATAAAAACCTTAAATATGTAATTTCACTTTCATGAGTCTTTTCGTTTTTTGAACCAGACTGATCACATACATACACACCTACACACACACACACACACACACACACACAAACACACACACACACAGAGTCCATTTAGCGGGCCTTGGTTAATTGGACTCAAGAGACCTCAAAACATGTATTTCCTTTGAGAACTCAGATTCGAAAATTGTCACGATCGCAATACTTACCCTTACTATATATTGCATATATAGATAAGTGAAAGTAAAAATGAGATGGAGGATCGAGCTTTCGCCTTCTAAATAGTCTGTAGAATAGGAACAAAGAACATCGCAGCTGATGCATTTTCAAAGTATGTGCTCCTGTCGATTCTGCAACTTTATTTGACTGGCAAACAAAAATTTGTCATCCTGGCATAACTAGAATGTGCCATTGGTTACGATCAAAGAATTAACCATACTCACTAGACGACTTAAGAACCACGACATCGTCCTGGAAGTTTGTTCCGATTACAAGCCAAAGTTACACCATAAACCAAATACATATATTAAATCTACCTCTCCCTGGGGACGTTTAAATCTGGATATCAAAGTATCTACCTTATCGACCAGTACAATCGTTACGTTTTGACAATAATTGATGAATTCAGCCGTTTTCATCCATATTCCCATGTTGCGACATATTTCCTGCCACTACCTACAAAATAAAATATAAACTATAAAATATTTGACAGATCTGTTCTCGCTTTTTGGACTCCCGGCATACGTTCATTTAGTTCAGGTTTCTCTTTTATGTCACAAAAACTCAACAAACTCAGTTGCAACAAGACGGACTACTCCCTATAATTTCCGCCAAAACGGTCAATGCGAACGGTACATTGGGATAGAATCTCATTGGTCTTGGAAGTGTCACGGGCTTAACACTATACGATGTCAGCTCGTCGTCAATGATGCAGTTCACAGTATGAAGTCATTACTGTATACCGCTACAAATGTTACTCCATATGAACGCATGTTCCTCCATCCAAGAAGATCCCCAATCGATAAATCACTGCTGACTTCTAAACTTGTAACGGTTCTCTTAAGGAAATTCCAGCGACCATCTAGCACTCGACCCAGAAGTTTAATCTCAAATAACGTCAGAATCTCAACCTTAATTGGATCTACCCCAGGAGACCAACACCCAACCTACAACTCAAGATACTGATTCGCCCGAGATCTCTCCTCAAATACAACTTAGACGAAGCGAACGTACCAGGAAAACTTCCGTAGGATTCCAGGACTATGCTTTTAAGTAAGGAGTGGGAAAATGTGGTGCAATTGTATTGAAAATAGAGATTGTAACAGTTCATAACCTTTAGAGCAATATTTTTCGCTTAGTAAAGCCTTGATTAAGAAAGTTCAGTTTGTTTTTGAGTATACGACCACTTTATCTACTCCATAGAAATTTTCCCCCGATTACCAGCGGGAATGAATAGTGTATACGCCTGCATCTGCATTTCGTGTAGCTTTTTGAGCGGAGCCGTCAGTGTATGTTTGGAATAAATTCTGTTTGGTATTGCAGAAATTGATTGTTTCCGGAGCAGGCGTTTTCAATTCTAATTCAGGTGTTAAGTGTTTCATATATGTTTCGTTTGATCTAGTCGTGCTTCAGCAAAAAATTTTGGCTGATCCCAACATCTATTAAATGGCATACTCACGCCTAGATCTATGTAATTTTCTTCTAACAGTTCTTTAACTTTTACAGTTAGTGGTTTTTGCATCTTGAGGTGGTGGACAGATGCTTTATGAACGTCGTAATACTTCAAACCAAATCGCTCAGTTCTCTCTATGGCAGTCGCCGGCGAGCATTCTATTGTAAATTAATGTTATTAGGGTGATATTAACCTTTCTTTCGTATGCAAAAATTCTTCAGCATTTGTTCTTGGTAGCTATGCACGTTTTTTAGCTGCAGTAGACACATGATTTTTTTCTTTAGCTAATTTTTTTGGTAATTAGTTTGGAATGGTTATTCCTTCATATATCTTTTAATTTTTATGGCTATTTGAAACGACGAACAGGCTTTACCTATCACCTTATTTACTCTCGTTTATTACAGTCCTTTTTCAGGATTAATATTGTGATAAATTGCTTGGTTTTATGTATTATTTTACAGTTTGATTTTGGATTGTTAGTTTTATTCGTTTAGTTTCTACAACTTAATACTCCTTATAATAGTCCTTCGAATCTATTCTGAATTTTTTTAACTCTACGATTCAGGATAGAATTTTGTATTAAATTAGCTTCACTTCTAATTATTTAGGTTCATCGTAATATATAAATTAGTCAGTGCATAGTTCTGTAAGATATTTAGACATAAGACCATACGATAGAAGAAAGTGTTTCTATCTTATTTTTCGCATGTATTTTTGCTCTTTGTTCCTCTCCACTCTGAAGTATCGAATAGTCAACAGTATTTAAGCATCAGATGGGGTAGAGGTTTCTCAGTCATTCCATTATCAATAGGATTTTCGTTTATAGTAGTAGGGAGTATGAATTCTAAGGGTTTTAATTCAGAATTTTGTAACCCTTTTTTACACAGGCCATGGATGGTTGACAAAGGGGCTGCTGCTACGCCTGCTAGTGGCAATAAAGGGATCAAAGGGATTATTGCAGGTATTGCTAGACATAGTATGGAATATTTTTTATTTTTTGGTGGTTCTATGGGATGTGTGGGTTCTATATTCATTATCAAATCTATTTAAACTTAATATTTTGAAGGAATGGAATGTATTTTTATTTATTCGTTTTTTTGGCTGATGATTGTTATTACTGGTATAGACTATGTATAATACCAATAATTAAAAGTAAAGTTGATGATTGATTAGTAATGTTAATAAAGCTGATAATCTAGAAATTAAACATTTCAGGTTAAAAATTATTACGTTAAGGGCTAGATAAAAGATATTTAAAACACATTTAGAATATTATATAATATAAGATTATCATGTGAATAAGTGATTACTTTAGTGTAGGCAATTTTAGGTTTATTGTTTTATTGCTGCTGTTTGTAGTTTAATTTTTAATCATGTGGATGCTTACCTAGAGTATAATTATTTCTTGTCCGATAAATTTGTATAAGTAATCATTTTGTTAAGGTGAGTGATGAGTAACTTGAGCTATAATTTTCTAATATGGAAAATACTTATCTTGAGTATGCAGTTCTACATCTATGGAAATATTTTACAATATCTGATAATGTCCTGTCCATATTAATCATTTGCCCATAGTTCCCTCATTTTACTGACTAGAACAGTGAAAGAAGGAAATATTCAACTCAGTTTGTCGATTTATGGAAAATAATTTATTTATATTACAGGTAATGTTCATGATTTAGTTTCGCCTGTCAAACCTTTCATTCAATACTTTGATCAGATTTTAATTGGTACAATCAGAATAGATAGTTTTTAGCCTTCCTTACATGAATAATCTTATTGATAATATAAGGGAAACATTCTAACGTTAATATTTATATTGGTGAAGTATATACCACATTAAATATAGGTGGAATAGTGGAAAAAACAACTTTCATACATGTTTTATGCAAGTTCCCTGTATTAACTATATAAACTATAGTTCCCTATAGTCTCTTAATATCATAATTTAGTTTATGTTAAGTTTGGGAGGGGGGGGGGGAGTACATGCCCCCTGATGCTACATTTATGATATATTTTTTTATTGTTGGCCCTGGGAACATCGATCCCTAATGGATCCATTTAATGATATTTAATATTACTGATCATGTAAGTGGGGGGGGGCTTAAGTTCCCCAAGAATTTTATTATTCCTATTACAAAATTCAGTGAGGATTAATTTATCTCCAAAATTTTATTATAGATTATTTATTTATTCCTTTACAAATTAATTTTTTTCTTACACAATACCTGAATATATTAGATGAATTCACTTTTATTAATGATTCATATATATTTATAATTTTAAGAGAAAAAAATTATTTGAATTTGTAAAATTCCTCATTTTTATTTAGTTATATTCTAGATCTAGTCTTGTACTGTTTAATTAATTGTTTATAAACAAGTATGATAAAAAAAAACTGTACTAATACTTTATAATAAACTATATGTTGTTCTTAATCACCAACTATTTTTTATGGTGGTTTAGATTGGTGCTTTTTTGAAATTTTTGTTGTAGTTCATTTCAATTACCAGATTTCTAAATATACAGTCATCAAATTATACCTTGAAGAAACTTTTCCGTTTGGTAATTTTTTAAAACAAAATTTCTGTTTGTTTTTTTTGTAGGAAGATATAAATACCTCCACATAACACATGCTCCATGAATGTTTTCTAAGTAAAATAATATCCAATATTTATTTTAGACTATTTTTATCATTTTAAATTTTACTCGTAACCATCTGCATTTATTTATTTGGTGTATTTTAATTAATAAAAGAAAAAATATAATACAATTCTTGGAATTTGAAAATTATCCTGCATAGTTAAGTATGTGAATTGATTCTAGAGGTTAGCTTATTGTAAATTATGTTACAAATATCCTAGATATAACATATTAATCTGATTTATTTGTTTTTCATTAGCTTTTAGACTAAATGGATACTGTTATGCAGAACTGTATGAATTTTTTTTTTTCTTCAACACAAAGATGTTTAAATCAATTTCTGCTTAATTTTCTTTATTTGACAAGAGGATGTTATGTGATGCTGAACAAAAATTTAAGCTGCTGTTATCCCTAATCACTTGTTACCTTTGCACATCCTCTTGATAAATTTAAGAAATACCACAAAAAAAAAAAAACTTAGTAGAAAAAAGTAAAAAAAACCACTTGGTACATTTTTGCATATTACTGTTGAGATGATGTATGAGACTCTTGTATTATTGTGGAACCCCTGCTTTGGTAGTGAGGAGTTCAGTGGCATTGAAATTAAAACAAAAGTTTTTATAAAAAGTTATTGATTACCTTAATTTAGTTCCTTATTTTATTGTTGCTTGAGCTCATTTGAGTTGCTATTGTGTTAAATTTTTAAATTATTTTGTCCTCTCTGGTTTTGTTGTAGGGTTTAATAAAATTTTTTATAGAAATTATCAAATGTTAAATCGTTTTTGTGCTGAAATGGATAGCCTGTTGAAAATAGTGTAAAACAAATTAATAAACTGTTAACTAATAGTGTTTTGATGATGGAAAACATGAATTCGGAAGAAAGTTCAACATATAATAATTTCTGCCCCTATCCATAGATTTAGAAATAGAATATAGTTAAGTATTTAGTATATTTAAGATGTTTTTTTTATTTATGTAATTACTTAATTTTTGATAAAACTTCCTTTTTTTTTTTTATTTCCTGAATTTGTTTTGTTGCTTTTATCTAAAAGCATATATTATCTATTCTAAATCCTATTTATATCATAACCATTCATTTAGGGTTCATCACTGATTATGAATATAACCATGTTCTAGAAATGATTTGTTGCTAGGGAATGAAGAAACTTTTTTGTTTTAAGAAATGTTACATAGCTTTAGTGATTTAAAAAATATTGTGAAATTAACTACAAAACCTTTCAACTTAATGCCATATAGGAGGACTTTTTTTTTTACTAAGATAACTTAGACACAACATCTTAAAAGAGTTTTCCATTTTTTTGCATGAGTAAACATGACAAAAGTTTTTTTCTAAAACCTTTATTACCAATTAGGAATATCGATAATGTTAATGCTGTTTTTTTTTTCGTTTCATTTTTCTGGATGTCTGCTGTCATTTCCCATGTTCATGATCGCATGAAATTATCTTATGATAGTATGAACGTTCGTGATAACCACAAGTGTATCTTCTATTAATCATTTTCGAATTTCACAATTTTTATACCGTATATAAATAGTTTCTGTATTTAAAGATTTTTTTTCGACCCAATTCTTGAATATTAATGGCAATATATTTCATAGCATTCGAAATATCTTTATTCACTATTCTTATTCTTATATATTAAAATTTTCAACACCATTTTGATACCCGTAGGTACAGATAAATCTAATCAATGATGATATTTGGACTTTCCGTATAGTGGAGAATAAATTGACCATTTTCAAGTTATGATTTAATTGAATATTTGGACTTAAATTTCTATAAGTATATAATCTTTTAAAGAATAAACTGGAAAAAAATTAAAAACCAAGCTTATGGTCGTATTAACATTGTAAAAAATCATGTAGCCTTGGATTATATAGCCGTTTTTCGACGCTAAATTTGTGTGCGGTTGCATACTTAAATGATCGTTTTTAAAGCGACTGTCCCAATAGTTTCCTACTATTTTCAGACGTATTTGAACCTAATTTTCTTTTCATATCAACAATTTTTTAATAAAATTAATTTAAATTTATTTTTATTGAATAACGAATGATGCCAGGGAGAAGTAACAATTTTTATCCATTAAAATAAACCTAGAGTAAGTTATAACATAATTTGTTGGAAACATTTTTAATAATTAAGAAAAGTTTTTATTTTTGAGCTAAGTTTTATTTCGTTTTATTAAAAACTAAAAATAATTGCTATTTAAGTGTTTCTATTCATGATGTCTGCATCGACAAATGTCGGGCTAGTTAGTGATTATTTGTATTTGATAGATGATTGCTTCGTGTTTGTAATTTTGCAATTATATTTTGATATTTAATTTAGATTTTTTTTTTCAATTTTAGCGAGTCATATTTTTCTGTGTTCGTTGTGTTAGTTATCGATGAAGTTGAGACTGTATTAATTTAGTAGACTGTATTAATAATTATTAGACCATGTTTATTGATCAAGGCTAAAGGCTCTTCATGGTGTTTAACCACACTTCAATCACGCTTTAACTGAGCATTCACCTTTCTCTTGTTGCATTGGACGAGAACTTATGTTTCATATTTGTATTTATGGTTTTCGTGGGATGAATGAACTTTTATATAATACCTTCATGATATGACGAAATATTATTTTAAGAATTGAAGATATATATATATATATATATATATATATATATATATATATATATATATATATATATATATATATATATATATATTATATTATATATATATATATCTGATTTTAAGTTTCTTACTTATTATTAGTTTGAGTCATTCTAATAATAAGTGTCATATATTTGTAATGAATGTTCTGTCATTAGATGACTTGCAATTCAACGCCCTAATTAAAAAATACATCGATTTTATAATGTTTGGATTAGAATATTTATTTCAGATTAAAATTATCTCATTATTTAATGTTGATTGGATTTAGGTGTATTTAAATCCCTTAAAGGTAAGGTTTTTAAAAATTAGATAAAATGTAATATATAGTCTTAGTCTATGGGCCAGACGCCCCGAACGGGACTGGCGTAGGTGCCTTCAGGCCTCTACCTCCCCACCCCATTCAGTAGTCATAAATGGATTAGTTATAGTGCTATAATAACTTCTTTGGTACATTATATTGATTGTATTAACGAACAAATATTTATGCAATAATTTAATTGTCCAAAAAAATTTAAAAAGATTTTAAAAATGTATTGTACGTTTCACCTCGCGCGGGCTCATTACCGCGTATGGGGAGCGTCCCACGGGTGGCGGATGTGGGGATGGTCGGTGGAAATTCCTTGGAAATTCCTCCCG